CAGTGATTATATATCAAGAACATTGTTGGAAGGCTTGCCAGCTCTTGGTGATCGCATAAAAGACCTGAAGGTTTCATAAGTTTTCCCTCCTCTTTGGAGCCATATATATTCCATCTAGATGATAACACAGCCTCAATATTTCTATGGTAACAAGAACCTTTCTTAATTGTAGAGAAAAGAAGAAGACATGCTAGCGCAAAAGAAGATACCAGATGGGCAGAAAGAAGAAATGTCACAGGTTCTGTGCCATAACCATAGCCAACGTCACTAGAAGAAGACTCTGATGATTTGATATCTTTATACTGAATAATATATTAGAACTGGAATTTGTGATTTTATAATCATAAGGGTTATTAGACGTGCATGCGTGATACTATATGGTATGGTACATATATCGTTGTCTAGAGCATGTACTCAGATCCTGCTTGTTCTCTCCTTCTCACACACATATATATATGCTAGGCATGCATTAGGCAATAAGATGGTTCCCTTTCTATGTGAAATGCTTAATTCTGTCAAATTTGTAGAAGAAACCAAAAAGGAGAAATTCAGAACTAGAAGTGGTAACTCATACAACTTAGAGTCGCTGGTTTGATGCAGTTCAATTAATTTTTCCTGCATCTCATCCCTAATGTTTAGATTATATACACCAAACGAATACAGGTAATACTTTTTAATGGCTTAGACATAAAACAGACACTGGCAGTTTGCTGGGAAAAGAGATTAAGGGATTATATTTAGTTCGCATGCATATTATTTTGCTATGCTGTGTGCCCAAGACAATATCATTTTGCACAGTTTCAATAGATTTACTTCTTGGAAGCTAAACAATACCCCACCTATGTTAGCCCAGCAAAAAGCTTCATGATATTATTAGGATTGCCACTTTACTGGAAAGGCTTTTCTGATCATGGAGGTTATTTTTTTATCATTCAATCCAGAGATTTTTAGTTCTAAGAATACAGCCTCTAGTAGAGGGTAAAAAAGAAAAGTACTTAACTACATCTCTTGCAGATGACACAAGAAATATCAAAATTGTACTTAAAAGCAAAGAAAAGAAACTAGTAACTTAAAATTGTATTTATTCCTACCATTTGTCTCGTTCGTTGGCTTATTGTTAAGGTACATTGTTTTGAAAGTCTTTTCTAACATTATAAGTTGAACCTTAATCTGATTTAACATCGTGTGCAGAATGAATATAAACGTGGGATTAGCAGCTGGAACTTCAATCTTGAAGATTTGAAGGCACAGGCTTCCTTGGTATTTTAATCTATAATTTATTGCACATGTACCAATAATATCTTTAATACATGTGCTTTAGCTTTACTTTTCTGATGAGAAAGTTGTCTGATGCGAAGAGGGCATACGATGTTTGGTTTCTCAAAGACAAATTAATCATTGTTTTAAATGTTAATTGTCGATTTTTTTTCTAAAAGCTAGATATATGAACACTAGTTTGCAAACAATACTTTTCTTCCTTCTTTTACTTTTAGATTCCAGATGAGGAAATTCTTGGTGAGAATTACCAAGGTGGGAGTACAAATTCACTCCCAGGGCTTGACAACCAAGGAAACCGGCTTCAAAATCAGTTATCTTCTCTACAACTTCCAAAATTTCAGCATCAATTCTCCTTTGGAAGTCAAAATTCAGATGCTACAGGATTCGTATGTCGATGTTCACTTAGGTTTTATATGATAGGAAGCAATTTGGGTTTTCCTCCTAATAATGCATCTCTCAACAGGATGATGACAATCCATCTGCCCCTCCTTCGCCTGCCGACCGCACCATGACTTATAGCAAGTAAGAA